TGTCATGTGTGAACCTTGACGTAAACCCAAAAATAGAATGAGGGCGCCCTACAATTTTATGAGACACAAAAGTTTCTCGGTCGGCAACTATGCAGACGTTATAATGATTTTTTTTTTTAATATTAAAATCAGATTTTTTAATTCGAGTCTTAAGGTTTCTTGAGCATGATTTTTTTGAAATTTTTTCTTATATTTGGTAAGCGATTTCAATCATCATTCAAATCAGTGATTAAAGTTGATTTAACTTGATATAACGTGATATAAAATCATTTGAGTTCTTAAAGTTCTTTTGGATATTTGGAAGAAAGAAATGGCCGAGTCTTCTGCTTTCAATCTACCCCAAACAGTTGCTAAATATGCAACTTCCTTTGCTTCTGATTTAATTTGCTAAAACCTCTGATCAACTGTAGTACATCCTCTAGTCCTATGATGCTTAGCGAAGCAGCCGCCATGTTTGTCTTTCTTTTCCTTAGCGTGATTCTAAACGGACATGTCTTTTTGGCATCTTCGAGTTTATCTAGTTTCTGTTTCAATTCTACATCTTTGTGATATTCTTACCAAACTGTAACATAAACATACATTTAATATTTTCTACTCTAATGCATGCATTTTCTTGTTTTGGTGGAAATTTTTTCTCATATGTGTGCATTCCATAGATTGTTGACTGTGCTTGGGTCAATGGGATGACCTTGGGATTGTTGGGGGTTCTGTGTGACAGTGCGAGCGATTCGATAACGTGGTCCCCTTCTTTCCTTGGTATATATAGGGTCAACAGGTTGACCCTGGGTTTGTTGGGGTTCATGAGGAAGTGTGAGTGTTTCATTCCCAAGCATTCCTATTGGATGACTCTCTTTAACGCCTACCGTGGGCAACACCCATCATCGGCATGGCTCACAAGCTCACAAACTCACATACCCCATGTTGCTAGTGCTATCTACAACAATGACAAACATGCTGACTCTTCACAGGACAATGCAACACTGCTTTTGGAAGCAGTCCCTGCAGAGACAATACTGGGCCACACAGGCACACCACAGCCTGCACCTGAGGAAACATAGCCCACCGGCCCTCTGCGCTGTCGGGGCTTTTGAACTCCATACGTCACTCTATCTTCCGGCTACCTTCTGGGCCTTTCTGTGAAGACTGCTTCTACCAGCCCTCTCTCGCTGTACCCATACAGCAGCCGGAGCAAGCCTCCGATGCCCCAGCTCATCAGGTTTCGACCTCTGGCTATACAACAAGTTCTCCTGTACACAAGAAGCGGAAGCATTCTTCTTCTTCCACAGAGTCCAAACGCAAGAAGTCTTGCTCCTCATGGAAGGACAACTCCTTGGCCGACATCATGTCAACATCATGTCATGAGAAGCTCTCTTCTATAGCCAGCTGCCTTGAGTCCAATCCTGCTCCCCCGGCAACTGCTCCAGATCCAGACCCTCTGACTGCAGAACATGATCCGCATCTGCATCTGAATCTGCATTCATCGGTGATGCAATCTTCTTATGACGGCCTCGTCCCTTCAACTTACTCGGGTTCCGGTGCAGACTACAGCTCACTTTCTACTCTGGCCCCCCGGCCATTCAACAAGACATGACATTCCTCCTTCTTCTAATCAACTTCAGATAGAAGTTCTTCTGAAGACAAGGATATCATCTTCCTGGCCAATTTTAACCCTTCTTCTTCAGAAAGATAGGATCCACATATTAGGCCTGCCTTCTAATCCATCTATAGCTGAGGCCTCATCACAAGCTTCCTTCAAGCGCCAACCCACTAGGATGGAGGCATCGACTCCAATTTTCCCGGAACTTCCACTTGACCGCTCATGCGTCAGGATGTTTAAAGTTGTTGCAAGTGGGAAACAATGGCATCCATACCCAGCCAGAGCATCGACTTATTTTCAGTTTGCTAGGGAGGACTTTGACAACTTCCTCTCTGTCCATGAGATTCCAATTAAGCTAAACATAAACTTTCTTCAAATGCTCACAAGCCTACAGGGAAGTTTCCATTTAAGAACAAGGACAAGTGTTTCTTTGAGTCTACTCTTGCTAAACTCGACAAAGCCTGCACTGCGTTTATGGCACTTGAATCTGCCAAAGGATACACACGCAATACAGTACATGTACAGTGTGCACTTCAGATCCAGATGTTTAATGCTTCTCTTCTTGTTCATGCATACAGCTTGATGCACAGACACAGGCACAGATTGACTAAAATAAAATCAAAATAAAACATAAATCATGAGTATGGTACATCCGACGTCTAGGTGATAATAATACATGTATGTGTGCCCACTTTGAACGTGTAAATATACATGCACCCAATGTTTGCTTTGACCTCAATTATAACTTACACTTAGGTGTATCTAAGTGACACTAGTACATGTATCTAAGATCCCCTAAAAGAGTATGATGCCCAACAAGTTAGACAATATGAAACCCCATAATTTTGACTATAGCTCCAATATGTAAGCCCCCCATGTGCGTATCTGTATTATTTACCGTTTACAATAAAGTATTCCACCGATGTAACAGCATGGCCTAAATGAGTGAGTTTCAGCTTATACAAGGCTTTAAACAACCCAGTAATTACTAAATCAAATTCTTTAATTTAATATGAGAATCCTGAGAATAATGAGCTCTAACCATTTAATAAACTTCAGCAGGATGGGCGAATCAAAATCTGTCAGATGCAAAACGTGATGGAGCCATCTTGTTTCAGTGCTGTTTTTTTATGGTCCCCGCCTATAGTGCCCTCAATGGATTATAAATAAAAAATGAGTTTGGCCACTACATACCGGCCCTCTAATTGTTTTTCATTAACAATTACATAATACTTATCAAAGAGGTCAAACTCTATTACACCCTTAAAACATAAGCCCTGCTGAAAACATGTAACAACACACAAATATGAGTAGGTACTGGTAACTCCTAAATACTGCTTTCAACTAGGAGACGCAACTTAGTTACAGGACGAACTAGAGTAGAAGTTTTTGTCTTCAACTTGGCACTCCTAACGAACCCCTTCTTGTCCTTGACAACTTCAAGTACTCTCCCAAGTGCCCATGAGTTTCTTGGAGTCGTGTCAATCACCAAGACAACATCTCCCACAGTCAGATTCCGCCTGGGTTGGGTCCACTT